GGGAGGTAGAGGGGATTGGGGGGGGGATTTAGTTGCGCTTTTGGCTTCACTTCCGGTCGTTTTTCGTTTGTTTGTTTGCGTTTCTTTTTGTATGTCCTCGAGGGCGCGTAAAAGTCGCTGTAAAGAGGTTACGGATTATATATATTTTGTGTGTGTGTATTATATTATTCTTTTCCCTTCCACCTCCCTCATTTATTCCTTCCCTCTTCTCCCTTTTAGCTTTACCCCCCCCCCCCCTCTCCCCCACTCCCACTCTCCTCCCTTTTAACCCATTAAATAAACCCAATCCATTATTCCCACAGTTATTCTCTGTCCCGCGATATAATGGGACAGTCATGGGCTTTATACAGGACAGGTCTCTCGTTCTCAAATTCTCTTTGCCTTGTCTTCTTGTGTCTTCGGAGGATGTAACCGCTTTGTCTTGGGGAATGTAAACTCTCTGTCTTACGTTCTTGTGTCATGGGGAACGTAGACTCTCTGTCTTGCCTTCTTGTGTCATGGGGAATGTAAACTCTCTGTCTTACGTTCTTGTGTCATGGAGAACGCAGGCTTTCTGTGTCATGGGGAACGTAGACTCTCTGTCTTGCCTTCTTGTGTCATGGGGAATGTAAACTCTCTGTCTTGCCTTCTTGTGTCATGGGGAACGTAGACTCTCTGTCTTGCCTTCTTGTGTCATGGGGAATGTAAACTCTCTGTCTTGCCTTCTTGTGTCATGGGGAACGTAGACTCTCTGTCTTGCCTTCTTGTGTCATGGGGAATGTAAACTCTCTGTCTTGCCTTTTTGTGTCATGGGGAACGCTGCCTCTTGCCTCGTTCGTGTGTCTTGGGGAAATTCCTTTTGTCAGAAGTCCTTAAAATGAGTGGTGCCTGTCGTTTTAAGGAGTGTTGTTCTTGTCGTTGTCAATTGTAGCCCTAAGCGCCTTTCCTTTGGTGTCTTCTTTAAGCCTTTCTCTCTCTCTCTCTCTCTCTCTCTCTCTCTCTCTCTCTCTCTCTCTCTCTCTCTCTCTCTCTCTCTCTCTCTCTCTCTCTCTCCTTCCCTCCCTTCGCTCTCCCTTCCTCTCGCTGATTCTCCTTTCTCCCTTCCTCTTCTTCTCTCCTCCCCCCCCCTTCTCTCTTCTCTCCCTCCCTCTCCTCTCTTCCTTCTCTCCCTTCTCTATGTCTCTGTAACTTCTCCCCCTCGACCCCCCCCTGTGCCCCTACCCCCTCTTAGTGCCACAACCCGGAGGCACTCTCGGCACATTCATCACTCGATATCATTGCCTTGTGACGTGGTGGGGTCAGGGAGCAGAGTGTGTGTGTTAGTGTGTGTGTGTGTGTGTGTGTGTGTGTGTGTGTGTGTGTGTGTGTGTGTGTGTGTGTGTGTGTGAGGGAGGGAGGAAGGGAGAGAGAGAGAGAGAGAGAGAGAGAGAGAGAGAGAGAGAGAGAGAGAGAGAGAGAGAGAGAGAAAGAGAAAGTTTGTGCGTGCGTTCTGTTATTAAAAAAGTCTCGATAAACAACATAAAAAATGATAAACCAAAGAAACCAGAAATATTCCCTTGTCAATGCAGACGCACGGAACATGCACACACACGCACGCACGCATACACGCACACACACAAACCTACCTCCACGGAACTTTCCCACGGGCAAAAATCGCCACCGGGGGGCACGTACACGAAATGCGTGTCCCGTGCATGACGCATTCCTTTTATGGTCATGTGCTTGGTGTATCTTATACCCCTCCCCCCCTCCCCCCTCCCTCCCTCCCTATCTCCCTCTTCCTCCCTCCCTCCTATCTCCCTCTTCCCTCCCTCCCTCCTATCTCCCTCTTCCCTCCCTCCCTCCCTATCACCCTCTTCCCTCCCTCCTCCTCCTATCCCCTCTTCCCCCTCCCTATCTCCCTCTTCCCTCCCTCCCTCCCTATCTCCCTCTCCCCCCCTCCCCCCTTCCCCCAGTGTTATCGGGAAGGGAAGGGGGGGGGGGGGGTTCTATCATGAGGAGGTATCTGTTTCGTTGCTTTGACCAAGAGGATTCGTCCCGGGGTTCGGATAAGTGTCATTTGGGGGGGGGGGGAAGAAGGGAAGGAGGATGGGTGGGGGGGAAGGAGGGGGGGGATGGATGTGTGGGTGTATGGGGGTAGGGGGGGGAGGGGGGGGGGGGGGGGGCATGACAGGAGGTCAAACGTGGCGTAATTTTATTTTTTTCTTTCTTATTCATTTCTTTTTTGTTGTTTTTGTTTTCTTGTTTTCCCTCCATACATTTAATTTGATTCATTCCGTATTTTTTTTTTTTATTGTTGATTTATAATAAGTTATAAATAAGTAAGTTATAAGTTCTTGTTTATTTTGGGAAATGTTTATCGGTATAATTTTCGCCGTTGTTGTTGTTGTTGTTTTTGTTTATGTTGTTTTTGTTTTTAGTTTTTGTTTATGTTGTTAGTTTTGTTGTTGTTTATGTTTTTTTTTTGTTTGCAATGTGAAAGCGCGTGGTTCCGGCGTCGAGGAAGTGCGTCATTGGATCATACAAAAGTCGGTCTGTTGCTTTGTCAAAGGAAGGTATTCGGGTAGGGGGGGGGGAGGTAGAGGGGATTGGGGGGGGGATTTAGTTGCGCTTTTGGCTTCACTTCCGGTCGTTTTTCGTTTGTTTGTTTGCGTTTCTTTTTGTATGTCCTCGAGGGCGCGTAAAAGTCGCTGTAAAGAGGTTACGGATTATATATATTTTATGTGTGTGTATTATATTATTCTTTTCCCTTCCACCTCCCTCATTTATTCCTTCCCTCCTCTCCCTTTTAGCTTTACCCCCCCCCTCTCCCCCACTCCCACTCTCCTCCCTTTTAACCCATTAAATAAACCCAATCCATTATTCCCACAGTTATTCTCTGTCCCGCGATATAATGGGACAGTCGTGGGCTTTATACACAGTAGGACAGGTCTCTCGTTCTCAAATTCTCTTTGCCTTGTCTTCTTGTGTCTTCGGAGGATGTAACCGCTTTGTCTTGGGGAATGTAAACTCTCTGTCTTACGTTCTTGTGTCATGGAGAACGTAGGCTTTCTGTGTCATGGGGAACGTAGACTCTCTGTCTTGCCTTCTTGTGTCAAGGGGAACGCTGCCTCTTGCCTCGTTCGTGTGTCTTGGGGAAATTCCTTTTGTCAGAAGTCCTTAAAATGAGTGGTGCCTGTCGTTTTAAGGAGTGTTGTTCTTGTCGTTGTCAATTGTAGCCCTAAGCGCCTTTCCTTTGGTGTCTTCTTTAAGCCTTTCTCTCTCTCTCTCTCTCTCTCTCTCTCTCTCTCTCTCTCTCTCTCTCTCTCTCTCTCTCTCTCTCTCTCTCTCTCTCTCTCTCTCCTTCCCTCCCTTCGCTCTCCCTTCCTCACGCTGATTCTTCTTTCTCCCTTCCTCTTCTTCTCTCTCCTTCCCCCCCCCCTTCTCTCTTCTCTCCCTCCCTCTCCTCTCTTCCTTCTCTCCCTTCTCTATGTCTCTGTAACTTCTCCCCCTCGACCCCCCCCCTGTGCCCCTACCCCCCTCTTAGTGCCACAACCCGGAGGCACTCTCGGCACATTCATCACTCGATATCATTGCCTTGTGACGTGGTGGGGTCAGGGAGCAGAGTGTGTGTGTTAGTGTGTGTGTGTGTGTGTGTGTGTGTGTGTGTGTGTGTGTGTGTGTGTGTGTGTGTGTGTGTATGTGTGTGTGTGTGAGGGAGGGAGGAGGAGAGAGAGAGAGAGAGAGAGAGAGAGAGAGAGAGAGAGAGAGAGAGAGAGAGAGAGAGAGAGAAAGTGTGTGCGTGCGTTCTGTTATTAAAAAAGTCTCGATAAACAACATAAAAATGATAAACCAAAGAAACCAGAGATATTCCCTTGTCAATGCAGACGCACGGAACATGCACACACACGCACGCACGCACCGCACTACACACAAACCTACCTCCACGGAACTTTCCCACGGGCAAAAATCGCCACCGGGGGGCACGTACACGAAATGCGTGTCCCGTGCATGACGCATTCCTTTTATGGTCATGTGCTTGGTGTATCTTATACCCCTCCCCCCCTCCCTCCCTCCCTCCCTCCCTATCTCCCTCTTCCCTTCCCTCCCTATCTTCCTCTTCCCTTCCCTATCTCCCTCTTCCCTTCCCTCCCTATCTCCCTCTTCCCTCCCTCCCTCCCTATCTCCCTCCCCCCTTCCCCCAGTGTTATCGGGAAGGGAAGGGGGGGTGGGGTGTTCTATCATGAGGAGGTATCTGTTTCGTTGCTTTGACCAAGAGGATTCGTCCCGGGGTTCGGATAAGTGTCATTTGGGGGGGGGAGAAGGGAAGGAGGATGGGTGGGGGGAAGGAGGGGGGGGATGGATGTGTGGGTGTATGGGGGTAGGGGGGGAGGGAAGAGGTTAAAGGTTGGGGTTAAAAGGCCTGGAGTGGGTGTGTGAGGGGAAGTGAGTGTGTGTGTGTGTGTCCGTGAGTGTAGAGAGGAGGGGGGGGGGAGGCGGCGGGTGTGTCATGTGATCACGTCGAGATCCTGATAGTGACGTAACATCCGTTTCTCTTCCTCTCTCTCTCTCTCTCACTCTCTCTCTCTCTCTCTCTCTCTCTCTCTCTCTCTCTCTCTTTCTCTCTCTCTCTCATATTCTTTCTCTCTCTCTCTCTCTCATATTCTTTCTCTTTCTCTCTCTCTCCATCTCTCTCTCTCTCTCTCTCTCTCTCTCTCTCTCTGTCTCATATTCTCTCTCTTTCATTCTCCCCCTTTCTCTCTCTCATTTATCTGTCTATCTATCTATCTACCCATCTACCGTTTTATCTCCCAGTCTCGCCCCAACATGCCATGCCTACTTCATGACTAACTACCGGATATATGATAGCAAGGGGGTAATCAAAGGGGGGGAGGGGGGAGAGGTGGACATACTGATACGTTCTGCTACAGGGGTAGGGGAGGGGGTGTGGAAGAGGAGGGGGGAAAGGAGGAAGGGGAGGGGGAGGGAGGTGACACTTATATACAAATCCCCGAGCGATATCGTGATAGTGTTGTCCAGACTCTCGAGATACACACTTCATTAACACAGTGCATAGTCACACGTCTACTACGATCTCAAGCCGTTCGACGATTTTTTAAAAACCGGACCCGATATTTTTATTTTAGCCGAACACGATTTTTTCTTAACCGGACTCGATATTTTTTGAACCGGACTTACGCGCGTGTGTGTGTGTATGTGTGCGCGTGTGAAAATCCCCCCTTTGGTTTTCCGTCTCGTCTCGCCGCTGGAGTTGGAACCATGAGTAGGTCAAGCGCTTGTTGTGATGCGGGTAAAAATGTCAAGGTGGTATTGATCGGATGTGGAGTGAGTGGATGTGGTTGTGTGGTTCGCGCCGTGTGGTTGCCCTCAGTGGACGCGCGGGACTGATCGTGGCGCCGCGCCTGAAGTCCCCTTGAGGATATATACCAGGTTATAACGGTATTTGCACACGCTGTTATACCACAGCACACTGGGATATACCACCTTGTCCCTTGGCCCCGCGTCTGTTTGTGTCTGTTTGTTGTTCTCATGACAAAAGAAAGAAGAAAATGTTATCCAGAGAAAATCGGTGATTATCATGAAATTGCATAACGCAAGCAAAGGTATCCATTACCCCATCCTCTCCCCCCTTCCTTCCCTCTCGCAAATTATTCTAAAAATAGTACATTTCAGTACCCGATTCCCCTTTCTCTTTCTCCCCCTTTCGTGAGCACCGAGAATCCCCCCCCCTTTCCCTTCCCCTTCCCCTTCCCCTTCCCCTTCCCCCACCCTCCCCTCACCCCCCCTCGCAACGCCCCCTCGTGAATCTTACCCGCGTGTATGACTGTAGGGATCCAGTACAGCGACCACCTCAAGGAACGCGCGTCGCTGCTGCGTCTCGGGAAGGAGGAGGAACAGGTGGAGCAGGCGGAGGAGGTGGAGGAGGTGGAGCAGCCGCGTCCGCCTCAGCCTCTTCGGGGGTTTCTCCACCACCACTACCACCGCCACGTCCGCGAGGGCACTCACGCCGCCGGGGAGGAGGAGGAGGCAGCGCGGACCAACGCCGTCGGCTGGTTCATTTCCTCGCCCTCGTCTTCCTCGTCGCCTTCCTCGTCCGCCTCCACGCCTTCGTCGTCTCCCCGCGGGGCTCTCTCGGACGCCATGAGCTGGTGGAACGGCTACAGGAGGAGCTCGCCCTTGGACAGGGGACTGCGGAACAGCAAGGTAATGAACGGGACGCCACGAACGGAACGGCGGAGCGGAGAGATAAAGTGCGTGTGCGTTTGTGTGTCATTGTGGAAGGACGTGTAACTATGTATAAGTGTAAACCAGTGTTAGTGAGCGTGAGTGTCCGTTCGCCAGTGCAAAACAAACCGAGACGGACGCATTTTTACTCTCTCTCTCTCTCTCTCTTCTCTCCCCCCCCCCCTCTCTCGCGCCAGTTCCGGGTGGGCGTTTCCATCTCATTGCGTATAGTTGTGCGGACACTGGCGGAGGGGGAGGGAGGGAGGGAGGGAAAGAAAGAGAGAGGGAGAGAGAGAAGAGAAGAGAAGAAAAGACAAGAAAAAAGAAGTGAAAAAATAAAAGAGAAAGAAAGAAAGAGAAACAAAAAAAAAGAAAGAAAAAGAAAAAGGAATCGGATAGAAAGAAAGAGAGAGAGAGAGAGTGTGTGAGAGACAGAGGGAGAGGGACTATTTTTAGCATCGGAGAGTTGTTGCTGTTGCGGATATCTGTGTCGTCTTTATGCGGGTTTGTGTGGCTTTATTGCGGCTCTGTGTGTGATGGCGTTAAGCGTCGGGGTTATTTCGGTTGTGTGTGTTTAGAGGTGAGTGATTTATTGCCTTTTTAGGTTGGGATGTGAAGGGAAAATTTGTTTCTGTGTGTGTGGGGTGTGTGTGTGTGTGTGTGTGTGTGTGTGTGTGTGTGTGTGTGTGTGTGTGTGTGTGTGTGTGTGTGTGTGTGTGTGCGTGTGTGTGTGCACTTTGTTTTTTATTTTTATCTTTGTTTTGTTCTGTGTCGTTTTCATCGTGTGATTCTTATTTTTTTTTCTTATTTTTATTCTTCTTCTTCTTCATCTTCTTCTTCTTCTTCTTCTCTTTCCTCTCCTTCTTCTTCACTTAATCTTCGTCTTCTTTTTAGTTACTTGGCTTCAGGTTTATTCCCTTATTTATGTACCCGGGTAAGCATGTTGAATATGTTCCCGGTAGATAATGGCATTCATCCTTATCTGCCTATTATCAGATAAGAATAACATTGGTCCCGTCTCACCTTTCCTCTATTAGAGTTCGGCGAAAGAGAGAAAAGTTTTATTGAACAAAAGGGTGTTGAACAGCCACACAGTTCTTCCTTCCTTCTTCCTTCCCTCTCTTTCGTTCCTCCCTTCCCCGTCCCTTCTTCCTTCTCCCTCCCTTTCCTCTCGTCCAACTCTTTCTCTTTCTCTTTCTCTTTATCTTTCTCTCTCTCTTTATCTCTCTCTCTCTCTCTCTCTCCCTCCCTCCCTCCCTCCCCCTCCCCCTCCCTCCCTCCCTCTCTCTTTCTTCTCGCTCCCTCCCCCCTCCCCCTCCCCCCTCCCCCACCATCATTACAACCCCAAACGCACATCTTATAATCTCGTAAAGCACCCGAAAGGGATTCATTAAACACATGTTCGTTGATAATCCCCTCCAGGATTTCGCTCGGGATTGTGGAAAGATTTAACAAAAGAAAAAAAAGAAAAGAAAAAAAGGAAGGAAAAAATAATGATGAAAATGAAAAAAAAATGAAGAAAAAATATATACGTATATAACGATCGGTGGAAATACAAAGGTCGTCGAAAGAGTCGTTATGAGTCGTTTTTTTTTTTCTCGTCGTCGTCGTCGGCTCAGCTGGTCGTTCTTAAGAATGTGACATTTCTGTGCTATCGATGTCTGGGATGGATGGGGTAGGGGGGGGAGGTGGGGGAGGGAGGGAGCCAAGGGATG